TATATATATATATATATATTAGCCCACTTTATTTGAATTATTGTTGTACAGTCTGACTGTTGTTACAGATATTTTGGAACATTTCTCAAGCTGGTATTGGCATTATTATGATGGCTATACGACTGTGCTGTAATTGCATGGGCTCCCACTCACCTTGGTCGTCTTGACTTTGTTTCCCGTGCTGCAGCTCCAACCTTTTAGATCCGGCAACACCTTACACTCCTCGCCCTCCATACACGGCTGCATCTGACACCACCACTTCTGCGCTACTATAGAAGCTGCGCAGACAGAAAGAAAGAAAGAAAGTAAGACGAGAGAATCTCAACACTCCGCTCACTCTGTGGGAACTGCCAAAATGGGAAAGAAACAAGCCCAAATCACCACGCATCCATGATTTTGACGGATGCAGCAATGAAGATTGAGAGGAGGAGAAAACCTCAGAAGATCTCGCTCGCGTCCAGTGTCAAATGAAATGAAACTATGTCTTTGTATCTCTTTCTCCCAAAAACAATGAGGCTAGTCAGGGAGGAGGTCTTTGATTCAAAGCTGACGGTTTGAATCCATCAATCCGATGTGGGCTCGACGCTCACTGTATGTCATACGGGATAAAGTTCTGCCTTCATGTCAAGATGACAAGAGTTGCGGTCTGGGGGATTGGCACAATGTTGAGGGTTAAGGGGAATTGAGAAGCAGAAGGAAGACATTGTCGAGCTTGAGGCCTCAACTTTTAATATGGGGCAAAGAGGAAGGAGCTATAAACCTTTTAAGATCGCAGGATATCAAAAAACGTTTGTGGATTTAAGTCCACATCTATCAGCTGAATCCAGCTATATGATAAAATAAACTTTTAGGCTGAATGAAAAAAACATACCTCAACCTACAATTTCCAAAAAGGCACCTATACATAAAATTAACTGCAGCTTCCAGCTAACATGAACACTAGTAACATTAAAACACCAACAACTTTTATTCCTTTTCGCACAAATAATGATTACAGAAGCACCGTTTATTTATTATTATATAGATTTAATAGATTATTTCCATGATTCCTTGCACAATATTATGTTATGACCTCAGAATAGCGCACCATACTGCATGATTTGTAAACTAATACATTTTGAGGTTTGTATGACATAACCAGGTTTATATGTACGGCTTTTCTGATGTAGCAAACTTGCTCAGTAGCGCTCCTGGTACCGCTTTGCATGTGTGATGAGCCCTCTGGTACATTCAAAGTCCCACAAAACATGCAAGCAGAAACAATTTCATTCTGCAGAAATATCACCACAGGCACACTTTTTAATGATCCTGGGTGAAACTTTTACCAGATATACATTTAGGAAAACAGACCAAAAATATTCATGACCTTGTACATAGAGATTTTGTGGCCAATAAAATGCTTTCTAAAATGAGAATGTCCTGTCTTCCAAAAAAACATTTGCAATTAGCATGTAATGTAAATTTTAAGACTACCAGAGATGTTAGAAACAAGAATGAGCCCTTTAATCTTTAATCTTCCGTCCCAACTTTGTTTCAATTGCAAATACAGGAAAAACGGAAAAGAACATTGCGACTGTCAAAACTATTTTATGATGTTTTTCAAATTTAGACATACACGTGTAGTTAAAAATGTATACACTCCCACAAATCTACCAAAATAACAGTTTTACTATGATTAAACATGGTAACTGGCCACTACTGCTATTCTCATTCTCAAGTAATAAGTGTATTTAATATAGCAACTATAATTAAAATGGTTAGATTTTCTACAGGTGCTTCTTTGAAATTGTATTTTTGGGGTCCAAACCTCTGAGACTGCTAGTGATTTTTTTTTCAATACAAATTACATTATCAACAAATAAGTGAAAAGACATGATAAAAATTCCCAGATTTCCAATGTTGTGTCAGACTTTCACAACCCACAGTATGCAGACACAATCTACCGCATAAAAACAGTGTAGAGAGGTCAAGTGTCTTTCAGTCTTAAGTGTAGTGGCTTTTGTCCTCATACAGCAGGTAGAATCATGCGCTGTGGTCTCGGTGCTCAGCAGGGGGTGGCAGCACCTGTCAGATGCATTAGAGGGCAGAAAAGAAGATCAAGATCGATTGACCCGTCCAGTGAGGGGGCCGCTGACATGTTATTAGACAAGCAGCCCACGCTGCACTCGAGCGAACAGCAGGATGACGGTGTCACACTCAAACGGACCCTGACTCAGAAGTGACAGCCCAGAGAGATGAGACTGAGATAAAGAGGGACAGCTAGACTTTAAAAAGATGGTTTAATTTAAGAGCATTAATCCTTAAAATAATAAAACAGGCCAAAGCAACAAGTAACTTCATGTGTATTTTCTACTGTGTTCTACTGTAAATTATACCATTATACCAAGACATTTCACATTACATTAGCATGGTATTCCTTGATGTTTATTGAAAACATCACCGTACGACCAAATTTTTTTCTATTAAATAATACAATTAATTTGTAATATTCAAGAACAAAACAAAGATAAAATACATAAATTTTATCCTAATTAGTATAGATAGATAGATAGATTTCTCTCTATAGAGAGAAAGCATCATTTATATTACGATATATATAATTTTCTACTTTTATTCAGATGTTTATTACAAATAGTATTTTCAGAAAACCAATAAGTATAAAAGGTGACTGGAGTTCATGGTAAATAATCACAAATTTGCTTAATTAGCAACCTAGAAATATTTGTTCTTTTACCTTTGTGTGTGATTTTTAATGCTAAAAACACATTTTTAACGCTTTAAATGAATGTTATACTGAAAATATGATATAAAAGTCTAATATTTTATCTATCTATCAAGTATAACATTAATAATAAACTACTTTGCTTCATAGAATCAAACCGCAGAAACCACACACACACACACACACACACACACAAACAAATGTCTTACCGTCCACACAGGAAGGAGCCGCTCTTGTTGTCCCAGCAACTTGCCCAGGGAAGCAAGAACACTTGACAGTTTGGGAGCGCTCCTCGATTTTGTTCTTGTTACAGCAGCGGTGGGCTGCAATGACCTCACAGGTTCCCGCTTTGACGTGTACTGAGGAAAAACAACAAGGACACCGAGTCTATTAAAATCAGCCAGCTGTTTCAAACTCTCATCGCTGACAAAGGAAACGATGAGGCACTAATGCATATTCTGTTGCTGCCGGTGGCTGCAATGGAAATGAATTTGTTGACGTGGAGGCAGCGTACAATTTAATTAATGCTAATGCAAGCAGTTTGATTTGTCTCAGGTCAGAAATCAGAAGAAAACGTTCCCTGTGATCAACGGGTTGGGTTTTATGATTCACTTTAGTAATTACAAGTAAAACGGTTAATTGATAATCATGGACCTTTATGCATCTAGAAGGGTCTTTCAAGCAAATTATTTATTCTCATTTTGTTTTGTTTATCCTTCACCTATGACTGAACAACAGCGGGGCGCAATGTTACTTAGCATTTAAAAGCGTGTATTCACACATCATTTTGAAGCTCTAAATTGAGGAATTTAAAAAAAAGAAAAGAGTATAAAAACATTTCGAAAGTTTTAGTGTACCTTTCAAATCAGCCTTAATTACATTGGTAAAGATTTTCAATTTAAGACTTGAGTTAAAAATTGATTGAAAAAGGGGCCTCCATTTTCCCATTAGCTGGCCAATCTCAAAATCTCATCAACAACATTAAAAACATTTTGCCTCCAATCAATAAAGAGCCTTTAACGTGCGCACAAAAGGCTCTGCCGAGCGGCAGGCTGGTTGTGGACTTGGGAAAGAAAAACAGAGATTTACCGATGCAAACGCCGGCGGTGAAGGGCTGAACCCCCTTTGTGTGATTATCTCAGCCCCAACACACTGCAGGGCCAAAGTTAATTTCAAAAGGTTTGAGCGGATGCAAATTGAATATTCAATGGTGGAGTTCGTTCCAACGGCTTATAGAAAATGATTGCTTTGACTCATTCAATGTGCATTACCGCCTTTATTTGTGTACCTTCCAACCGCACAGTGCTTGTAAAAATCTATAAGAGAAACAAACTGGGATGGGTTACTCCACAAGCTGGAGTTTGACATGATATGTGTTTGGCTTCTCTGGTAGAGCAGCGATGTGAAAAATGGTTTGAGCATTAAAAAGTCTAGTTAAACAATCCTAAATAGCATTTGCATACATTTACTGGCATGATATATTCATAATATTCTAAAATTTAGCTATTCATAAATTAGCCATTAAATGATTATATAAAAAATGTGCAGATTGATTTAATGCTCTCAGAGTTGACAGAGAAGTAGAAAACAGAGAACCATTTACTGCTCCTGGATGGATGATTTAAGATTACACTTAAAACCAAATATTGACAAAAAAAAAACAAGCATAAACCAATACAAACCTGGGGTTGGATTCACAAAACTTTTCATTTCTTCTTAACTAGTGATTTTTTGATGCTCATGCCGATATCTGAGCAGGGTGGCCGATATAAAGTCAATACATATAATATATCACACAATTTAATTTAAAGGTAAGTTAAGGCACATGTATAAAAACTGCTGAAATGAAAATTATATTTATTTTGCATATTTCTTTATTGATATAATAATTTAAAAATGAATACAAAAAAATCTGTAAAAAAAACTATTTTAGTATTTTTCATAAATTAATAAATCATTAAAAATAAGCATAAAATGAAAGTAATTTCTTAAAAATAAAAAACCTAAAATTAATAATTCAAACTGTTCTTAAAAACCATTGTAAATAATGGGTACAGCAAGAAGAAGAAGAAGAAAAACACTCCAGCGATGCCAATGTCAGGTATTCAATCCCTAAGAACACACATACTTATGAACCTCGAGTGAAGTGCAAGTTGCTTTGGTTAAAAGTGTCTGCCAAGTGAATAAATGTAAATGATATTATCTATGCACTCAAGAGCTTCTGTGAAAACTCAAAAGCTTTTAATTTTGGCAGTGAAAATTAAGTTTCTATGTTTGGCACTGATCAAAATCTGTTCCTTGACTTGAGGTCACGCTGAAATTGAATCAAATTCGTGAAACAAAGAAAGTGTCGTGTTCCTGGAACAGAATGTTTTTGGCACAGCCACAGAGATCAGCACCAACACAGGAGCACCTGATCCCAGATCAGCCCTCGACCTGCTGTGGGAAAGCCTCTGTCAGGGTAGCAGCCACGTTGGCAGGGCCTGGAGAAACAGTGCAAACTACTGATTAAACCATAACCCTTTCACCAAGGTCATAAACAAGCCAACCAAATCTATAGGCAGTATGTGTGTGTACGTGAGCGAACGGCTCCTGTGAAGATTAAGTGGGCAGTGTTTAGCAAGGTGCCCGAGGACCAACAAAGAGAATTAAACAGCTACTTCTTGGCTCTGTATACTCGACTGATGTGAGACCTTTTCTAAGAAGGCGTTGTGTCTTTCTCTGGACATCTGTGCAAAATTTCCATGGACTTGCAATAGCTGCGATCGATATGTTTCACTTAAGGTGTGCAGGCTGGTCGTCTGGCAGAGTCAGGGAACGTCTGCCTCAGCAGAAGGAGGGGGCGCGATCCGAGTGCTAACAGTAATGGGAGCTGGCACGGCTCTTAGGCACTGCTTTCATCACCACAATCACATCCATTGATCCCACATTGACAAGCACCATCATCCCAATGAAGACTGTGAGGGTATGGATGAACTAGATGGATGATAAACTCATCAAAACTAGTTTGGGGTACACTACATGACAGAACGCAAAATAAAAGGAGCTTATTCGATATGTATATATATATCGCTTTTGTAAAAAAATATATATTTTTGTGTGTAAAACATAGGGCCTATATATGTGTGTTTGCGTGTCATGCTCACCAAGGCAAAATACAGTAAAAAAAAAAAACTGTAAAAATTTTAAATATTATTACAATGTTAACATGTGTTCTCTTTTAACTCTTTCCCCGCCAGTATTTTTGAAAAAAGTTGCCAGCCACCGCCAGCGATTTTGATGATTTTCACTCAAATTTGATGGCCTCCAGTATATTTTGCTGTATGAATATTTGAATATGTAATACACCAAAATCAAAGATCAGTTTTATTCTAGCTTAAAGCATTCTTTTTTTATCAACACCTGAATATAGATAGGTTTCATAAAAATGCATACTTTTGAGCAAAATTAAATTTTTTAATTTTTATCAAAAACGATATCTGGATAATATTCAGTACGATTTTCAAGCATAAATCCAGTAAATCGCTTCCATCAACACCTCCAAGGCTTGCATAGACATATACCACTTCCTGGATCAACATTTTACTGTAACATTTTATAGTTTTCATTTACATGCTGTCTATTGCTGATGATCGCATTATTTTTCATATGAATCTGTTTACATAAAAGATCGCTCGTTTCTCCATCCTGTTTACGTATGTTTTTGTTCGGGAGGTTTTGTACTCGTTCTGAAGATGCGTAATAGCGCCCCCGAGTGTATAACAGTGAAAACACGGAAAGCCGTAAAAACTCGTCTTTGGCGGGGAAGCGTTTTCTTGTAAAAGACTAGATAACTCGTCAATGGCGGGGAAAGTTAATATATTTAATTGCAAAATATTTGCAAATATATGCAAATATTTGATTTGCTGCTCGAGAAACATTTCTTATTATTATCAATGTTGAACAGTTCCACTATTAATATTTTTGTGCAAACCATGACACATTTTTTCAGGATCCTTTGATTAATAGAAAGTTATTTATTTGAAAAACAAATTGTCGGTTTACTGTCCCTTTTGATCAATTTAATTTTTTTTACTCTTACTGACACCAAAGTTTTGCACGGTATTATTTTAAATCTAATAACCTCCCATTTATGACTTACTTAAAGGGTCATAAAACACTAAACAACATTTTCTGAGATTTTAGCAGAGGTGTTTGTGTTGCACATGATAGAAAGCATCCGTTAATTTTAATTATTGGAGAAAACTGATTAATTTGGAGCTTTTTTGAGCAATTTTCATCTTCTAGATTTAAAATCGACATAGTGTTGACATCGCAGTTTGTGACGTGGCAAAGGACTATAGAACTTCGATGACGCATTGGTGTCTCATAATTATTCATGAGACTGCGTATTCTTATCCAATGAGAAGACGCTTCGCTTAATTATTCACGACAGCATTGTTGATTTACTATGACAGAGTCACGCTTCAGACTGTGAGATTGCGTACATTAAGTGAGAGATGCGCTTTCATTAGGGGTGTAATGAGTCACTCATTTTCTCGATGCGTCGATTACAAACCCTGACAATGCAATGCATCGATCTTGAAACATGGATTTTTGAATCGTGAATTGTCGATTTCACAAAAGTATTTAATGTTTTCAGTTTGTACATTCTTTACATTTCTTTTGGACCTGGGGTAGAGAATTTGGAAACATGGTGAAAAGAAATCTTATGAATCATACTACAACAGGGATAGAAAATAACAACGTTAATGAAGTATTATTAATATATTATTAACTTTATCCTACAGGGGAAACTGTTACTAATGATGGAAATAAACTGAAATATTATAGTAATCAACTATGATTCATATGATTTTACATGTGGCCTGAGAAAATCATGTCTATTATTGGTTTGTAAGATTGGAGATCACGCCGCACACGTATACAAACATTCAGGAGGACACAAAATTCTTGAGAATGCTGCCCTGCAACTTTTATTAATAAAATAGATTAAATAGCCTACTGGAGAGACGCACAGATGCAGGTAGGCAACTGTCACCTCTCTCTCTCTCTCTCTCTCTCTCTCTCTCGATCGAATAATTAATTCAAGTAGCTAAATATTATCATGAATTAATTCAAATAAATGTGATCTTACCGCACTATTTCATCTCTTTCTGATTTGAAGCGGGCAGAATGCTGAGCTAACGAGCCGTAGCTTCGCATCAGGTTTTTCTTGCCTTCACATCGTGCATTAAAATTATTCAATGTACAGCTAGCCATGCATTATCCCTAATGTGTTTGCTCTTTAGTAGCAGTTTTTTACGGCAATATTTAAATGACATCCTGGTCATTCTTGGTGTACGCAAAATGGTCCCAC